ATATATTAGGAATGCCTATTTGAGACCATATCTGGCTCTTATTTATTGCTTTTGTTGAGTTGTAGTGTTTTTTCTTTTACATTAGTACTGTATAATAATACCACACAATATCCTGACTGTTGGAAGCTTATTAAACATAGTATGACTTACTAACATTTTCTCCCACCCTGTCAATTATATGTTTACTTTTTAAGTCTTTTGAAAAGTACATTTTAAACTTTGATAGTCTTAGTTTATCCTTTTGTTTCTTTTTAAGAGTATCATAGTCTTCACTGTAATCCATTCTGACTTAATTTTTGCTTGTGATTCTTTGGTGTATGGCTATTGTGTTATTGAAGTCTGTCTTGCCACTGTTATTTGGCTGTGGGGTTAGTGATGGGCTCCCCATTCTGGTCCATTGGTCTGCATTTCTGTTTCTTATGCTAACACCTTTGATATTTGAATTGTTATTGCGTTGTAGTGAGTCTTTCGGTAATTAAATGTAAAGCCTTCAATTTTGTTTTGTTTAAGATTTTTTTTGTTGCTACTCTGGGTCACATTCAAATCCACATTAATTCTATAATCAGTATCAATTTCAATAAAAGTACATTGGACTTTTAAAATATGATTGAACTGAATCTATAGATCAATTTTTCCCCGTATTAATCCTTTCACTCAATAAACATTAAGTAACTTCACATTTGTTTAAGACTAATTTATCTTCATGTTGCCTTGTAGGTTTCTGAATATGTTTTGTAGATCTATTGTTTCTTCCTATGTACCCTTTTAATTCTGTTTTAGATGAAAGAATTTAATTTAGCTAGGTTTAGATTGTTTGTTTGTTTATAGACATGCTATTAACATTTCCATATTGATATCATACCTTTAATTTGCATAATTTATTTCTTAGCTCTCTTTGGGATTATTCTTTAGCATTTTCCATGCAAAGTATGACTCCAAAAGTTAGCTGCATGGTTTTGTTTCTGCTATGAATGCAAGTGTTTCTTGCAAGTTGCTTCATTTAGAACTTCCTCGTCCATATTGGTTATAGCAAATGGCTTTGTGCTGTGCTATTTTAGAGGATAGGAAATCTCTCCAATTTTGAGTATTCAACACAATGCTGTGATTTTAAAGATGTTCTTAATCTGACTGAAAATGATTCCTTCTGTTCTGTTTTGAGTGTTTTCACTATTAAGAGTGTTGGATTTTTGTCAAATTGTTTTCCTATGTCGCGAGAATGTTAGCAGGTCTGCCTCTTATGAGGGTTATGAGCAAAAGGTCTGTTCCAGAGGTCTTTGCTTTGGTTATAAATGAACTACCTTCTCCGCAAATCTCTTTAGTATCTTATCTTCCCCTTGTATAAAAGTAATAGTTTCATTATTATGTTTTCATAATATATAGCATACTTTGATCACATTCCCCCTCCTTTGCCCACCCTCATCATCTTCTGTCTTTGCACTAGTACCCCTTTTCCTTTTATATTCTATTAAAAATATCCAAGACTAGGGAGATGGCTCAGATGTAAGAGTGCTTGCTGTCTATGCATGAGAATCTGACTTCAAATGCATACACTCATGTAAAAACTGGTGTGGTCCTGAATGGCTGTAACCCTAGCATTAAGGGAAGGAGAAGGGTGAATCTCAAGCTCACTAGCTAGACAGCCTAGCTGAAACTGAGCTTCAGGCTCCATCAGAGACTGTGTTGGAATAGAATGAGGGGGAGAGCAATAAGGGATGGTCAGTGCCATCTTTTGCTCTCACAGTCTAATGAATAAGTATGCATTTACTGTACACATGCACCGCACAAAATACAGATTCACCATGCTATATATATATATATATATATCTTGCCAAGCATGATTTATTGCCAGGATCTTGTGATCCATCATATTTTCCGAAATAACACAATTTTGTTATATTCCATGGTTGAATAAAATTCTCATTTTAAAAGTCCATGTTGTTTTATACCTAGGCTGATTCTGTAATGTGGGTGTCATGAATAGTACCACAATAATCATTGGTGTGCACATGTCTTTATTGTATGCTGACTTAGTTTCCTTTGGATGGATATATGTATATATATACATATACACAGTATTTGTATTTATATATGTATATATACAATATAATTTATTTATATGTGTACATATACATATATACACACATATGTATGTATGTATGTATGTCCAAGGGCCTTATAGCTAGAACCTCTGATAGTACCATTTTTAGTTTTTTTAGACCCTCACACTGATTTCTATAGTGGCTACACTAATTAGTATCCCATAGACAGTGTATAGCTGTTGCCCATGTCCAGCCATGTCCTAACTTGTATTTCTCTATTTGTTTTCTTAGAAAAATCTCTTCTTATTTTTTTGAGATTATAATATACTTATATAATTTCCTCCCTTCAATCCCCAGCCACATATACCCCTCCTTATTCTCTTTAAAATTCATGGCTTCACTTTTAATTGTTGTTTTTGTTTTTGTTTGTGTATACAACCAGCTCAATCTGTATAATGGTATTTGTACGCATGCTTCCAGGCTTGTTCTTTGGTTCTGGAAAGACAATTGGTATACTCTTTCCTGAGGAAGACTATTTTTTCCTGCTCACAGTTTTCTCAGTTGCGTATAGTGCTTTGTGTAGGGTTAAAGCTTCCAGAACTTTCCCATTATCCATGTTAACATGTCTGTTGGGGTTATCCTGTTTATGAAGTCATGTTGGTTAGATTTGGCATTCCTTGGAGACACAATCTCACAGCCAACTTCCTGTTCCTCTGTCTCTGTCCCCCCTCTCTTGAATCTCTGCTAGGTGCAAGAGTTGTGCTGTAGAGAGATTAAGATTGTCAATTCTACATTTTGACTGGTTATATTTTTCTCTAATGGCTTTAATTTGTTGCACAAAGATATTTCCTTGAGAGGTAAGGACTACACTTATCTGTGGGTAATTAGGACAGATATTTCAAATATTATTAGGGATTATTGTGCTGGTTCAGTGAAGTGGTGGTTAGGTGTTCTTCTCTAAGATCCATGACTTCACTAACACTGTGTAGTTGGATAGGTCTCTAGGTCCAGGCATGATTTCCCTCTTGTTGATTAGGCCTTAAGTCCAATTACATAGTTGTTGTTTACTGCCAACGTATGTATGACACTACTGTAAAGTTAAAGCTGTCGTGCCATTCTGGATGTTGTAGTTCATAGATATCATAACTAGGTAGGACTATTGGTCTTTCTTTTCTTTGGAAGTTTGCATGCTGCCTTCTGTTGCCATGAAAGCTAGTACTCAAAGTGAGGCCTTCAGGTTAGTTCTAACTCAGGGGCTGCAGGGCCCTGTGTCTGATGTAGATGCTGTCTTCTGCAACCGGGATTTACCTTCCATCTCGGGGGGGCAACCAAGGAACTGTGATGTTTCAGGAGTTTCCTGGACAACCCTGACCAACAATTCAAAAGAGAACTTTCATGCTTGGAGCTAGGGTTTTTGTTAGCTGGCCTTTGACTGTTAGAGGGAGCATTACCAGCTCAGATGGGAAAATTTTATATATATTATATACTATAGTTATTTTATGTAGGTAGTTAATAGTATGATTCCTTATGACTTTTCAGACATCCTTAATTTCCCCCTCCTTCTGCATTTACTACCCCCTCTTAATTAGAGTTCTGTGTTTTTCCCAGTTTTATTGCTGTTTCCCTCTCAATTATTCCCACCCTGATTTTTGCAGTCACCTCAAGTCATGTGCTCACATCTGAAGATTTGGAGCTAGGAGCCTCCAGTGAGAGAAAACATGCTGTGTCTGTCTTTCTCGGCCTGGGTTACTTCACATTTTATTATCTTTTCTGGTTTTACCCATTTACACTGAAAGTTCATGATTTCATTTTTTCTTTATGACTGAATACTGTAGTGTTTCATAGTATATATGTACCAGGTTTTCGTGATCACCACTTTGAATGGAATGAAATCTCAATATGGTTCTCACTTGCACGTGACTAGTGGATAAGGATGCTGACTTCTTATCATGGATTTAGTGGACATTTGCATTCACTTTTT